TTAAATATCGCTAAACGTAGCGATCGTATGTAATGCGAAATCGCTATAAATCGACTCGCATAGAAATACGTAACTCGGCCGCGGCAACGGCGGCGAAAATTTCAATACGCGCGAGGAAAAAGCGATGTTTCAGACAGAACTTCCTCGTAATAATATACGTCCGATAAAAAGTTCGCGATATGAGAATTCCATCTCATCATATTTTTAGCATTAGCAATCGATGTCTCTATCATTGAAGGATAAATCATTCAATGAAATCATTAATAGAATAAAAGTCTTAAAAGTGACGCGACTCTTATTATATAGATCCTTTTTTTAACTACCAATGGCCAGGTAATAAGAATTTCTCGATTAAGCAGCTGAAAATTATGGAATCTCGCGTCTAAATTTTCTATTTTTCCTTCTACTCGACGTAACGAAGTTATTTCTTATAAAATCCCCTATGAGGTTTTTTTAACGAACCAAAACTGGAACGATCGATCGGCGGTACGTTCAACCGCAAAAACGCAAGCACGAAATATATCGAGCTTTTTTGCTCGTTTCTCCGACAGATTGCGCCGCCATACGTTCCTCGTTTTCGTTCCCCTATCATATGACAAATCGTTAGTCGAATATTACAAAACGAGATTTCAATTAAGGTAGATGCACTGTTGGATAACTTGAAACAGTGATGTGATTGGTTAATAATTCTGTCGAATAAAATGTTTTCATTATTACACTGAGAAAAATGGTCTGGTTGGATTAAATAGTAATTCTGGTGTAAAATGGACGAATCAGAATTTTCTGGTTAAATCTACTAGAATTCTAGTTGAGATAATCAGAATTTTGATTGATATAATTATTCTAGTGAAAATGAGAACTCTAGTAGATTTTATATAGAAATATTGTATCAACCAGAATTCCTGTTATCTCAACTAGAATTCTAATAAATTTAACCAGAAACTTCTAATCCGTCCATTTTCAACTAGAAATTTTTTTTAGTGTAATTATAGTAAACGGTATCAGAGCAAAAAAATTTAAAATTTGTCTGATATATAAAACATAGATATATGAAAGCAATATTTTTTCATTTAATGAAACTCAATCATATTAACTAACGAATCTTTAAACAGTTTATTCATTTAATCGATGGCGGCGCATTTGCTCCCGCATTTTATCAATAATATTCTATATTTAACGAATAATTTGCAAATGCAGGAACGTCAAATATTTAATTACTAAATTGACTTGTATTATATATTGACACGTTACTTAAAATTCTGATGTTATTGTGGAAAATATTGCGATGCAAATTACTTTATGTCAATTTCACTATTTCCTCGCAATTTTCCAATTTTAAATATTTAGAGAGATAAATCTTGAATTCCAACTTAAATTTTCCAATTAAAAACACACACATTTTTAAGTTGTATATATGGAAAAACTATTTAGAGAGAGAGAATGTTCGATTTTAAAAGTCAAGCACATTTATTTCGATCAAATGATCAATTTAGATTATTTCGATCAAATGATCAGATTCTGCAATGCGTAATTTTACAAATGGCTCTTAGTGAAATTGTTCGATACAATCGATGCTGGCCCGATTCTTAGGAGTAATTGTATCGCCGTTGTATTGCAACAAGTATATCGCGCGTGAGGAAATCGTTAACGACGAGCGAAAGTTCCGCAATTAAGGTATCCTGTCTCGTGCGAGTGTATGACATCATTACGTTAATTATCTCAGGCAACTGCGTAATTGTATCTGGGACATAAATTACGATCTCTGTATGCTGTACGCGGTCGAAATTATCCGGAAAATTTCTGCCGAATTGCGACATTACACAATACGATGATTTGTACACGTTGTTTCTCAAGGTTCATTTTCAACCATCGCAATCCGCATTATTTTCAAAAATGAATTTCTGTTGTCAAAGATGAGGGACAGCCATGCTATCACGATGATTTGTCGAAATACCCATGTTATCTCCTCGAATAAATCACGAAGCGCATAATTAATTGGGACAATTGTCTGTCACATCGCGATAACGTTGAATAGTTCAGTTTATTGATTAAATGATAATGTCCATAATAAACACCATTAATTCAAGTAATGGTACTTGCTAAAGTTCAATAATATATGTCGCTATCGTACTAAGTACTTGTTCAAGTAATGTTGAGAATTAAAAAGTTGTGGCAAGTTAATCAAACCAATAAATCATGGAAACGAAAACAATTACGTGAAAAACAATTATTTGTTTAATTTTATCCTACGTTTTTATTAAGAAGTCTCGTGATTCATCTATCTTTTTTTTATTTTGGCACTTCATCAACTCATCGTAGTTAGGTTTCGATACCATAGGTCGCGGTCGATCGATTAGCAGGATTTCAATTAACCTCCGTAGGCAACGAAAAAGCTGCTGGAGTTTCGGAGTAAAGGACAGAAGTAGGAAAGAGAAGCGAGACATGGCTCACGCGACCCAAACTTCTAAATGCGGCTCAGTTTGCAAAACCGTCGTAGGCTTTCATTGAACCTGGCTTCTGCAATTGAGGTCTGGGTTGCCGATTCTTCTCTCCCACTACATCTGTCCTAATTTCCCTTTCCTCTTTTAATCATAGTTGCGTTCGTTCACGATTCGTTTTGATTTTTATATTTGTTTATACATAGGTATTTTGTTTATATAGCTTAATATACATATACATATAGGATACAGCGGGGTAATTTGAATAGCGGGGAAATTTGGATAATAGTAAGCGTTTGCAAGAATTTCAAAAAAATTTGAGATGCCATGTTTTATATTTGGGGTTAGTAGCAAAGAAGATATTGTAGTCTACATATTTATGTAGGTTTGAAAAGATATCTGTGTATGGTATCTGGAAGTTTGTAGAGAGTTTTATATTAAGCAAGGTAGGTAGAGAATTTCGGTTGTCACTGCAGTTTATAAGAATATATTCTGCTTTCTTGAACTTTTATGAAATCTACGTAGAAAGTATATGAACAGGACCAAATTATGGATGAGTTCAAGTATTTTAATACAAAATTTGATTTTTGTGTGTGTGTTGTAATTTTAATGTTCATTTTCAATATTATTCAAATTATCCTTTAAGATATCCAGATTTCTCTCAAAATTGAGCTTCATTAAAATTGTAGGAGGAAATCGGATAATGACATTACACCTCAAGATTTAAAAATTAATTTTTTATACTTTAGGTAAATATTCCTTAAACATGTGAGTTTTCTGCTACATATTCAAAGTAACGATAAAATTATTATTTTTCGAGAAATTGTTTAAAATGTTTGAAATTATTCAAATTACCCCGCTGTACCCTATGTAGTTTTTATATACGTATATTAAAATATATACATATATTTATACATTCGGCACATTTGCATGTTAAAATCTCCTATATATGAATTTTATATTGCAGTTTGCCTATCTAATACTTTGTTAAGCATTTCGAAGGAAGAAGAGAAAGTTTTCCCGAAACATTGTATAAAATAACAAAGAGGAAGTTTACTGTTCTACATCATATCCATCTATTCTATTTCATAAAACTACTATCCCCGTCTCTCAAATGGACGAAGAATTCAAAGTAGATGTCGAGTTCGCGATTTGTGTGAGGAAAGTCCCCTTTTTCTCCGCTTTTCCCATTATGGATTCCCCGCGACACGCTTCCCCGCTTCGTCGCACACGAAAGCTGAAACTTTCGCTTAATGACAGAAGTTTTATTGCTGGCCATCGTTCAATCCGCCGACATCCTATAGAAGCGAACGAACGAACGAACAGGGCATCGCGGTTCGTCTCCACAGGTACGTCTCTCTATCATTTTCAATTAATTTCTAATCGCAATTACGGCCAAAATTTGAAAACGTTAATTTTCATATTAACGAAAAATAATTGCCAATTGGTGGATTGATAACGTAAATTCGGATTCTGTTATGGTTATTGTTGTGAATAAATGTACCTAGTACATACTGTTTGTTACAAAGAGAGAAAGAAAAGAAGAAATAATATTCGTATTGAATATCTCTGCATTATGTATTGTATTCCATGTTCTGATTGAAATTTTGCTTCCTTTATCATAATCCTTCATCATTATCATTGCAAAACTTGATTTCTAAAAGTAATATATTTCGAAAAGCTCAATATCAATTATGCAATCGTTGAAAATGCCCTAAGCGTGTTACAACAGGAAAATTAATCGTATAGAAAATTTCCGAAACATAATGGCTTCAATATAACGATAAACACGAACAAGACTCCGAGGGCGAAGACTATGTGCGCGTATGCAAAGATAGCGCAATTTTACTGCAGATGCTCGTGGCCATAATAGCTGCAAGGATTGCCACGGTTGTTGCATGCTGATCCATCCGGTTTTACGATAATTGCACAAGCAAAACGTGCTGATACACGACGTGCCAGGCATAACATGTTCAAAACATTGCACTTTTAGTCTTAAAGATTTTAAATTACTCGATTATCTCATATATTTGTTTATAAGTGAATACTTTCATTTAAAGTAGATAGAAAATAAATAAACAGTTTTTACAATAATTTTAATATTTAAATTTTTATCTTTTTTTTTTTCAAGAAAGATAAATTGAATACTTCATGTCAAAATAATCGAGTGATATAATGTTCCGCTCGGAGTCTATCCAAGATGGCGGCAAACAAATTTGCAGCGAGTCACGTTCTTGCTGAAACTGGCGTGGATAGAAAGGAATTCCGAGAAGTCTTTAAAGCGTTTCCTTTTACAGTTACGATTGAATTTTATCGTAAAAGCAGCGTTCGTGATCGCGATAAAACGTTTAGCCTGAGATATTCGCGTTTCCAGATTTTTACAGACACATTGAAGATCATAGTTTATTTTTCTCATTTAATGTGCTGACACCGACATAAAAGATGTAAAAGATGTCATGAAATAATTCGAATTACGGAGACGAAAAATAAATTAGCTAATTAACTGTCAAAAGAAAATATAATTTAATACAACCGAAAGAAACATTCTTTAAAATCACGTACCTTTAACCGCATTGAGCTTGTTTCCGACCATCTGCTTCGCCACAAACGCAGCCATTTTATTACTTTGTGGTTTTTCACACCGCTATCAAAGTTACAGAAACCTGTAAACAAAGATTAAAGCTTGTTACTTCATGTTTTTTATCTTTTGATTGAAGTTTTACATGTTTTATGCGTTAGTTATTTATGTTAATTAATTATTTATTATTTACGCTTCTATGCTGCTGGACTTGTATCTGATAAAAATTCAGTAATATGCATTATTCTTGTGTGCAATTGATTTATCTGTTATAAAAAAGCAATTTTCATACAGTGATGACTTTATTTCATAAATACGTAATTTTTTTGGTTATAATTTTCTTTTATGATTGCATGTCAAATAGTTAACCGCTTATTATTAAATTTTTCTCAGAATGAATTATATAAATGAGCAAATTATGTTCCTCCTTTATTAATTATATTATTTTTAATCTTTTATTTATATAATTGCATTTTTTTATCTTCTTTATATTTAATTCCATTTAATCTTATTTTTATGAATGTTACATTTCTTTTAATAAACTATTTCTTTAATTTATCAGTAACGTAGTAGCCGAGAATTTATCTCTGTGAATAATTTTTTTTTTATTTTAGGTACTTAATATTTAAATAAATATAAGATCCCTATTTTTATCATTTTTTTTATTTTTTATCATATGTATATAAATCTAAATTTGTATTTACCAATTCTTTTAATTATTTAATAATTACTTAAATTATGCTCTGATATATCTTTGGAGTTTTTTTAAATCTGAAATCTGCAGTAATTTACCATTTAAATCATCGAGGTAGTGATTACGGTTATGAAAAATATTACATTCTTCTATAATACATATACATATTTTCTTCTCTAACTTTGTGCTACAGCGTTGAAATGAAACACGCTTCCCAAGAGATGATGTCGCCCTTAATGCCCGTCGACGAAAGTATTTTAATCTTATGTCATACTCACACGTCGCGCACAATATCGGAAGTAATCTTCCTCTTCCATTACATTGATATTTCGAAATTTGACAGTACATGAAATAAACATTCGATCGCGGTAATTGAATCTGCTGAAAGTGTAGATTCTTGTTTTGATTAAGTTTTTTTCCAAAATTTATAAAAATAGCTATATCCCCCTACGAAAAAGAACTGATTAGTGTTCCGATAAACTGATTAGCTCTACCAATAACTGATGATACTACATGGATAAAATTGATGAAATATCAGTTACTATATAGTTAAACAGTTTATTGGAACACTAATCAGTTCTTGTTTTTAAGGATCGGGTAGAAAACAAGAAGCAATCCTTAATACGTATATCCTTGTAACTTTGTAATTATGTAATACAATATGGCGGATGGAGAGCGATCAGTTGCACGATGAAAGAAGAGATCAATAGAGAAATATAAGGGGATAGACAAAAGAGGAAGGGGAAGGAAGAAAGCTGGAGCCTGGAGAAGACGACGCCAGTGAAACGGCGTCGAGACGTCTCGGCGCCTGTTTCCCAACCACCGATCTCCGTGATTTTCCAACAACACGCGACAATTTATGCCCTAACGATGAGTGACAAAGGGTTGCTACCCACGTGCACGCACTCTTTTTCTTATTAGTGACGTAACGCACCCCTGCTTCCTATTATAAAAAATATTTCTGATCGATAGTTTATCTTATGTGACAATTCTTGCAGATATTTAAAAATTTTGTATTATAAATACAATTTATTGATTAAAGTTATACTAATTATTAAATTTATTGTTCGCTATTTTAGTAAATCATAGAGATGGACACAAATACGATAACATACGATAAAATATATAAATATATATATAATTATAATTTAAATATGTATACCCTTATCACTTTTGTATGTTTATCATTGAGAATAACCCGATCGGACTTGAAACGCCGTTTGTATTATTTTTAATTTGTTTAGTTCTTATTAATTATATTATATCTATTATTTACATATTGTTTTCTTATGGTTCGTAGCCCTTCTTAACACTTTTATTATTAATTTATATTAATTGAACCATATTACACGATGTAATATAAATATATAAAACTTGATAGAAAATATATATAGATAATTAATCAAAATGAAATTATCTTTGCAAATGTATAGAGGCGATCGAGGCAGAAAGCTCACGATATACGCAAAATCTTCATCATACATAGCTTTGCTATATAATTTCACGTGCTACGTCGTTAAGGGTCAAAGCGGAAGCTTGCCGAAGTGCCTCTTAGAGAGAGGAACACAGAGGAAAGGGTTACATGTATATCTCTCATCTTAGAGAAAGGCGCATGCCTCGTTAGGGCAGCGACGACCTGGACGGAGAGCTCAAGGATCCCTTGCTGTAATCTATTTAATGAAAGCGACGACAAAATGTTCAATTTGATCGATGTTTCAGCTTCATTTCAAAACTGGTAAACGCAATAATATTTACAAATAATTAATAGATGTATAAAATTACAATTATAGAGTCTATATTTATATAAAATTCCTATTTATTTTAATATTATTATATCTTTATTATAAATATTTACTCGCACACACATTTTGAAAACCAGAAAATTGTATTTAATATTAACAAAACTATATAGAATTATTTTTTTTTCGGATTGAAAAAAATTATTTTTGTAATTCATCTTAATTATTCTGCTGTGATATAAAAATATTATAGGAAAATGATAATCATATTAAATTTCTCAAAATTTAGAAATTTCGAATACTATAATATATTTTGTTTGTTGCCACCATTACCTCTTTCGTCTTCTCGATTATATAAAAGACAGCTACTAGGAATACGATTTGTACATGACTGCGGTATCGGTAAAATATGCAGACGGCTCAAAGGATTTCATGCTTTAGTGGCTAGCAGGAAATGGAGAGTATAATAGGCAACAGGCGCGGTTCTCGTGGATGATGCGGAAAGAGTTGATAGATAGCTAATAAAAACCGACTGGTCCATGAATAACGTCCAACCACGAGGATTTTGTAAGTAACGATAGAAACTGTTAAAATAATTCGATGACGATGTTTAAATTAACGTGAGATCACATGTGATAAAGATATATCTGTGCAAATTGGAGGTTTATTCATCCATTTAATGTGATAAAACATTATCACGCCTCTGTAACCGACGGAATTTAACAATCAATTTACTTTCGATTTTGCGATACAACGTTCATATAGCGTTATATTCCACGGAAAATCTTAGAAAAGTTGTTATATTACTTGCAATCCAGAAAGAAATTAACTCTGATACTCAATTCATCAAGTTGACATTAGGAGCTGATACGAACACGCATAAATACTCGAGTACGATGCTCGATCAAATTATGCCGCATCATCTCGCGTAAGTAAGAAGTCATGTAAAGGAATCATCTGTCAGCGCAATCAATCGATCCATCACTGGGATCTGGGTCGAGCGATGTTAACAGCAAGAAAACTCTACTAAGAAATTTTATTCTCCTCTGTATTTCTATGTAATCAGGGAATACGCGCGAGTATTTGTATACATAACGGTATACGATGCGTGTGAAAACAATTGCTCTCTACTTCACTACATATTAATCTTACTTACTCGCACAAGGTACATTTTATAATCTACGCGCGCGCGCGGATTTTGTTTTACAAACCTCTACGTGCTTCTTCTTCATTACATTCGCAAATATTTTTTCATATGCTGCAACGTTCAACTTGAAGAGTTTATTTACCCCAAGGAAGAGAGTCTAGACTTTTTTAGCTTTTTATTAATGGATCAGTTTCGTATTAGATCAAATATATAGCAACAGTAATTATCTTTCATTAAAAATTATATAAGGCTCAAATTAATACAGTTAAACATACAACACTCAAGCACTTTTTAATAAAATTTAATAAACAAAACATTAAGTTAAATCTACTAGAATATTTCGTTTATAAACCATACCCGATATCCTTATTTGAAAACAGACGGAAGCATTAAAAAAGTAGAGAAAAGCGTACAAAAAAATTTTATTCAGTTCACTTATTGAATTTTAAAATAGCTGGAATATTTTATACTCGTGCGAATAAGAGCGATTCCACAATAAAACGACATTGCGACAGCCTGCGAATGTCGTTTCTCTGAAATGCGCGACCCGACATTAGCCCAAACTGGCAGCGAGATAGAATGGAGAAGGACATAGTTGCATCGTTGAATTTCTCGGTACACGGTGCACATTGCCCGAGAGCGCATTTCTTATTAACGTTGTTCATCCAGTCACCAGGATGCCGGAATTTCCGGCCCGGCACATCCTATGCATCTTACGCGTGCGGTCGACTGTACCGAAAAACCTACTTGCGTCATTCGCGCTGTCGAATTTTCAATTCAGCTCACCGTCACGATTTTTCTTTCCTTCTTTCAGACATTCCTCTACCTCGCACGAATGTTTCTGTCTTTTTCTCTTTTCCTCTCATAGGAAAAATTAAATTTTTCTCGAACTGAAATTCACACAATTGAATGTCGTAAAAGACGAAATAGAGGTACCGTAATACTCCATACGGCTCCTTTTATGCAAACACAACGAAAGGTTAAATCAATTTTTTTTCTGGATTGTTAATGAAATCGTGTATATATACTCACGCTTTAAATCGCGCACGTTTGACATGTCGCAACTCGCAATGATTATTGCATAAAAATGAACGTGATTAAGCAAAGTTGAATTATGGGAAGCAAACTCGACATATTAACTTTATATTCGTAGTTTCGAAAGTAAATGAATTCACTCATGTGGGTAATGTTGCAAACACCGAAAAATCCCGGAAACTGCTGACCATTGCGAAACGAGTGTTCCTCAATTAGCATAAATTTTCAACTGGAGCATGAGCAGAGAGAAAGAGAGAGGAAGAGGGGAATGAAAGAGATAATCTAATAGTTTATGAATAGATAGAAAAGCGACGAACGGATACTAGAGAATATAATCACGCAATTCCTTTCAAATAACCACTGGCTGTTTCGCTCAATGAAATACAGAAGTATCGTTTAATTAAATTATTGACACGAAGAACGGAACAAGCTTATTTTTAGTAATACTGAGAAAACTAAAGAGCTCATTG